TTTCAAGCCCTAATTCAAGAAAAAAACATTCCAAGTCTATCTCCCATTCTTGGAGACATAAATGTATTTTTGTGCCTGAAGTTTTTATCTTGATAATGGCATTTAATTGTTTTTTCAGAAAAGATTCTTCCAAAATAGCAGAAAGAATATTTACCCATGTTTATTTCAGAAGAATCACCAACTGCGCATACTGGCAATCATGTAGGGCAGAGACGGGGAGCCGGGTCTGAACCTGGCTTCATTCGGGATGTGGTTCTGGTTTTGAAATCCCTTCCCCTGCGTGAGTTCTGCAGCCTCAGTAGGGGCAGGAAGGCTGGCGGCCTGGAACCCCTCCCCGCCGTCCTCGCCGGCCGCCTCCCACCCCCACAAAGACCCCCAGCTCTCCACCCCAGAAAGCAGCTCAGACTTTAAGCCATTCAAAATAAAACAAAAATGGGGCCGGCCCCGTGGTATAGCCGCTAAAGCCACCCCCTGCAGTGCCTGAATCCCATGAGGGCGCTGGTTCTAGTCCCAGCCGCTCTTCTTCCTATCCAGCTCTCTGCTGTGGCCTGGGAAAGCAGCAGAAGATGGCTCAAGTCCTTGGGCCCCTGCACCCATGTGGGAGACATGGAAGAAGCTCCTGGCTCCTGGCCTCGGATTGGCCCAGCTCCTGCCAGTGTGGCCATCTGGGGAGTGAACCAGTGGATGGAAGACCCCTCTCTCTCTGCCTCCGCCCCCGCCTCTGCCTCTGTAATTCTGCCTTTCAAATAAATAAATCTAAAATAAATAAATAAAGCCATAAACACACTCCCAAGCTGCCTCCGAAGAGTGACTTCCCGGGGGGAGGAGGCAGTGCGCTGTGGGGGAGGAACTGGGGGAATCACGTGTGTTCCAAGAAGGCACAGGCAGTGGGGGGAGCTCGCGGAGGGAAGTTGAACCCAAGGATGGAAACTATAGCTGGTCCTTGCCTCCAGCAAAGGAGAAGTCGATGGAGGGCTCCCAGAGGCCACAGCCACTTCCCTACACTCCAGTTTATAGGGTCGGGGTGGGGGTGCCTCGGCTGTATACACAGTGGTCTGGTGTGGGTGCAAGTCTGGCTGACTCAGGCTCTGTGGCCTTGGGCAAGTGCTTACCCTCTCTGATCCTCCGTTTGCCACCTTTTACGTAAGGCAGAGTCCTGACAGCTCAATGAGGTGGTCTGTAGTTCAAGGCCAGGACTCGGTGGGTTGGCTCTTGTTACAGTCCTGCAGGCTGCCATCTGTCTCCAGATGTTTTCATAGTATATGTTGCCACCTGCTGTTTCCACCTCGTTTTTTTGTCCTGCTGGAGGTAAGCAGGGCCAGCCTTGTGGGTGGGCACGCAGCCCGTGCATGCGCACGTAGCCTGTGCACGCGCACGCAGCCTGTGCACGCGCAGGGCCCTCTGGGCTGCTGTGGTTATCTTGAGATTTTGAATAATCTGGGAGCAAGGAGCCCTGCTGATTGATTCATTTTGCTCAGGGAGGTGTAGAATTGCAAGATTCTGTCTGAAGCTGGGACGGTCCTGGCCCTTTGCTGTGAGAGGAGCCACTGTTGGGGGCGGGGAACGGCCCGATCCCCCGGGGTGGCGGGGAGCTGCTTCGTTGCCTGGTGGAGTAATTGCAGTAGCTGCGAGCCTCGGGCCTTCTCCGTGTCTGCCCAGGGCTTCCCAGCAGTCCCGTGAGGGCCGCGTGGCTGGCCCCCGTGGCGCAGTGGCATCAGGATGATGTGTGTGAGTTGGGTGGGCCGTAGCCAGACCGTAGCCCGCTGGAGAGAAGGAGCAGGTGCAGAGTTTAGATGTATGGAGGAGCGTTGTTCTGGTGGCTGTGTTCGGAGGTGGAGCCCATCCTCCGCTGGAGATCTGATCGAGCCGAGGTGGCGCGGCCGGCTGGAGCGTGTGTGCCCTTGTCCCAGAAGGAAGCTGCTAACGCTGTCACTTGGGGTGACAGAGAGCAGGCGGCCCCAGACTTGGGGGGACGTGCCGACAGCGCTCCTGAGGGCCTCCGCCAGGCCATGGCCAAGTGTGCAGCCGTGGGCACCGCGCGGGGATGGAGCTGCCTTCTCAAGGCCGTGGACAGTCCCACTGCCCATGGCCAGAGGCAGCTGAGGAAGCCAGAGTTGCTGTGGGACGGGCAGGGCCGCTGGCCTCTGGGGCCCAGAGGAGGCCGAAGGGCCCAGTGTCAGAGAGAGAAAGGCGCAGGCAGCCTTCACGCCAGGAGCCGGGCCGGCTTCACGGCGCAGCGGCCGGCTGGACAGAGGCTGAGGGCCGCAGAGGGCAGACGCGGTGTGCTTCTCACGGTTTCCCCCGGGGCGTCATGACGCTCTATGGCTTGCTCTGGGCTCGTCTTAACTGGTGGGTCAGCTGCTGAGTGTCCCCAGTGCCCGCTGCCCTGCAGTGTAGAGGGCACGAGTCTGCCCGGCTGAGGACTACACTTCCCAGCTTCCCTTGCGGCTGCCAGTATTCCACCTGCCTCCACGCTGCCCGACAGGGTGATTGGAAGTGGTGTGGTCCATTTCTGAATCGCACCTGGAGAAATGGGGTTGCAGCTTGATGGGAATGGGTGCGTGGGGGCTGTAGGAGCTTTCTTTCCTCTCTCTCCTTCTGCCTGGAATGTGACCTGGTGGGCCCCAACTTGAGCTGTGCAGACAAGGGCCACGTGGAAAGGTGGAGAAAACAGTAGAGAGCCAGCCTTGGCCCCAGACCCAGTGCACCTGCCCGGTCAGCCCCTGACGGTCACACCGGCCTCTGCAGGAGTGAGAGACATGGGGCTCGGGCTCCGCTGATGTGCTGGGCTCTCGTCATGCTGGCTCCTGTGGGGGCCGTTCCCCTGGTTAGAAATACACTCCACTTTGTTGAAATCCCTGTGCGTGGGCTCACAGGCGCAGCACCTGACCTTGTGTTCAAGGCAGTCTGGCCTTGTTTTGGGGGGCTGTTACGAGGGCTGGGTACCACTTATCGGTCAAGGTGGTGCCAGCAGTGACAGCCCTAGCAGACGTCACTCACTGTGGGTAATTTTCTGGTGTCAGCTGGGCTGGATCAAGAACACCTAGAAGCTTGGAAACGCGTGATTTGGGACGTGTCTCCGAGGCGTGACTTGGGACGTGTCTCCGAGGACACTTCCAAGTGAGACTAGCCAGGGAGTGAGTGGACCGAGCGGGAGGAGCAGGCCTCCCCTGGAGGGACACCCTCGTGCGCCGAGACTGACCCTCCGCCGGGGACCTCAGTGGCTGGCTCTTGGACTCAGCTGAGATTCGCAGCCTCCGCCTCCCTGGTTCTGAGGCTCCTGGACTGGAACTGAGTGATACCACAGACATGGCAGGATCTGCAGCCTCTCAATGCCGTAATCACGGAGCCAAGTCCCTGATAAATCCCCCTTCATGCATCTCGGGCACATCCCGGGGACGCCGTCTCTGACTGCCCAGCCCCCGGTGGTCGCCAGGCAGCCACAGGAGGGTCAGTGAGGCAGGCGAGCGCGGCCCGAGCCTGTGGGTAATGTCCTTCAGAAAGAACCCGGGCTGCACTCACGTCGAGTCACGAGCGCCCATCTCAGATGTTAAAGGGGAAGCTGGAAACCTCGGGGCCGCTGGGGCAATAAACAAGTGCCCGCGCGTGTGAATTCCCTCTGAGGCCAGCGCAGCTGGTAGCCTCTCTCCTCCTCCTCCCCTTCCCCTTTCTCCCGAGCCACCTGCGTGGGCGTGATTGCGAGCCTGGTCACGCGTGCGGCCCTCAGCCTGCTCTGCAGCCAGCATGAGGTCATGGGCCTGGGTCCCGCCTGATGGGACCCGAGATGGGGTCTGCCCAGAGCTTCTGGACGAGCCCCGCCCCTCGTGCCCGGGGGGACTTTCTCCACGGGCAAAGAGGGAAGAGCGGAGAGAAAGCACCTAGGTCTTGGGCAGCATCACGCCGTCGTTGAGCTGTTCCTGGAACCGCCCAGCTCGGCTCCTTGGAGAGGGAGGGACGCGTTGCCTGTCCTTGTCTGTGGCGGCAGCCATGTGCGTGCACGTGATCGGCCTCCTGCAGCTCTGTGGGTCTCAGGTTGAGCCACGCCCCTTCCCGAGAGTACCAGCGGCTTTGGAAGTCAGGATCTCTAGAGAGCCATCTGCATCGCCGTCACCCCGTGCTCCGTAGGAATCTCTGTGTCATCTGTCGTCTTCATTCAGGATCCAGGCGGGCCAGGCCGTGTGCTGAGCTCTGTCTTGGCAGAGCTGGTGTAGGTCTTGGATGTGTGTGTGAGTGTGTGTGTGTGTCTGTCTGAGTGTCCGTCCCAGCAGCAGGGCGTCCCCTCGTGTTGGGCTGTCCAGTCTCCATCTTAGACTGCGGGGCCTCGCCCGGGGCCTGGGAGACAGGGAGGAGCTCCCTCGTGCTTGTCGAGTGAATGTGTGAAAGAATGAGCCATCACCACCTCATTTTGCCACCTGCCTGGACAGAGCCAGTTTCCCTCCCCCGCGCTCCTGCAGAACAAGACGGTTCTTGCGGAGAGAGCTCGGGGAGAGGTTAATCCAATTCTCAGCTCCAAAGCTGCTTCTGGTTGCCGTCTTCAGCGATCCTTAATCCTTAATCCAGCCACTGCCGGCGCGTCAGCGCTGAGCCAGCTCTGACCTGGCTCTTCTCCAAGGAGAGTAGGAAGGGATTGTGTGGATTTAAGTCATTTCTAGAAACAGGGGAGAGGGCTGCACTGTGGCACAGCTGGGCACCACCAGTTCACGACCCGGCTGCTCCACTTCCCATCCAGCTCCCTGCTGTGGCCTGGGAAAGCAGCAGAAGATGGCCCAGTGCCTGGGCCCCTGCACCCGCGTGGGAGACCTGGAAGAAGCTCCTGGCTCCTGGCTTCAGATCGGCCCTGCTCCAGCTTTTGCGGCCATCTGGGGAGTGAACCAGATGATAGAAGTTTTCTCTCTCTCTTTATCTCTGCCTCTGCCTCTCGGGGGGGGGGGGGGAGTTGAGAGAAGCCACGTAAAGTGGGCCAAGTGGGCCGTCTCAGGCACGAGTGTGAGCTCCAGCGTTGGAAGCGGGACACTTTTATTTTCCTTGTTTTATATCCTGGAAGTAGCAGACGTTTAATGAAGGAAACTTGGAACTGTGCAGGACAGAGCCACACCACTTGTAACGGCCGCGTTCAGATTTCAGAAGGGGGTTTTCTTTTTTTTTTTGACAGGCAGAGTTAGACAGTGAGAGAGAGAGAGACAGAGAGAAAGGTCTTTCTTCCGTTCGTTCACCCCCCAAATGGCCACAATTGCCAGAACTGCACTGATCCAAAGCCAGGAGCCAGGTGCTTCCTCCTGGTCTCCCATGGGGTGCAGGGCCCAAGCACTTGGGCCATCCTCCACTGCACTCCCGGGCCACAGCAGAGAGCTGGCCTGGAAGAGGGGCAACCGGGACAGAATCCGGCGCCCCAAATGGGACCAGAACCCGTGGTGCCGGCGCCACAGGCAGAGGATTGGCCTAGTGAGCCGCGGCGCCGGCCCAGGAAGGGGGTTTTCATTTTCTGCTATTTTCTCTGTCCCCCCTCCTCTGTCCCCTTGTCTGCCTGCCTTTCCCCGGCTCTCTGTCTCCTGTCTCCCCCTCTGTCAGACCGCGATGTTTGCGACCTTCTGAGAGCGCTCTCCCTTCGATGTCCGCCAGCGCCCAGTCCCGTCTCTCCCCTCCGTGGTAACCTCTGGGAAACCTGGATGCTTTGTCCCCAGAGCGCTGGTCGCGGCTCTCCTGCCCCAGTCCGCTCCCAGCGTCCTCCTGTTCCTCTCTCAGGAATGCAACACTCAGCCTGACTGACAGCAGCTTAGCAAATTCTCTGT